GGCCTTGATCTTGAGGCTAGATGTCGCCGTGAGCCAATAGAAAATGACAAGATGCGGTACCGTTGGAATTGATCGGCGATGCGGTACGTCTGCATGAGTCGAGACGACGGGCGCATCATGCCCAAGATCGAGTCGGTCACCCAGTCGGCGTGAAGCCCCGCGACCGGACTGTCCGTCTTGAGGAGCGCGGTGTGCTCGCTGCAGCGCTTGCATTTAGGGCCGCCGCAGAAGCGACACTTGATCGTGAGTGATTTTTCCCACTCACGCGGCCCCACTGTCATCGGGAGGGCTGTCGGCCGCGTCGGCGTGCGCGGTGGGCTCGACATGCACTATAATTTCAAGTGAAACCCACGCGAAACCGCAGGTCAAGGGAATAAACAATTATATTCACTTGCGGCAGATGGACGACCATGACGGCCTCCCGCTGCGCCCGCGGGGCGCCAACGTCGGGTATGAGATTACGCGTCTCGAGGCTGTGGACGCGCCCCACTGGCAGCTCCAAGCATCGACAACCGAGAACAACCACCTCGCAGTGTTTTCCTCTCTGGAAGCGTATGCTGCCACGTCATATGACATGTGGCATGATAGGTCCACTCTAGGTACATGCACACGTCGCTGGACGAGCTTCACTGGTACCACGGTGTGGGCAAAGCACTCGTTGCGATGGCCATGGTCGACCTGCTCCTGCGGCGCATGGACCCTGTCGTCTACGGCCCGCTCGTCGCATTTGCGGCGCCTACCCACACCTTTTTACAAGAGCTGGCGCAGCAGCAGCGAAAGCCAACTGTGATGCGGCTGCAGATTCCCGAGATCTCGCCGAGACTGTCGCCTCGCGCGTCGCCGCGGCCCGCTGCGTCGTCTCCTGCGGCGCTGCCTCCCAGGCGCTTCATTGAGCTGCCAAAGACCGAGGTTCATGTGCTCGAAGTCGCCGTTTACCTCCGCAGCGTCCTCTTGCAATTGGTCGCCAAAGACGCGCCAAAGAAGCCGCTTCCGGCGCCGCCTCTCGACGCGCTGCAGGTATTACGCCATACCAAAGTCCTATTGCGCCAAAAGCAGTTCTTTCCCGGCCTTCTCGTCGCCCTGCCAGCGCGCCACGGTACGCCATGATTCTCTTGCACACACATGCATCAACTGACCGTAGGCACCAAGGCAAAGAGCAGCTTGAACGGGCTCGAGGCCAATCTGCAC